GAAGTTGATGAATGAGTGCCATTCTGTGAGACGGAAACAGGAGACAAAATATTTTTTGCCATATTGCTGCTGTTATTTTGCCTTGATAAAGATATTGCTGACCGTTGGTATGGAAACGGAGATCAGAGCTCCAACATTAGCTTCTTGAAATGGAGGACGCCAGAAATGGTTCCATTATGAAAATGTGAGGATATTCCAGTGGTCGGAAAGTTCTTTAATTCTGTACCCGAAATACTCTGTTCCAGCAACGTAGAGCCATAGAATTGCTCATGTATTGTGATACCTGTTACAGTTCGTTTAGATCGCCATCGCTTATATTATGGTTGACATACTGGAATTGTTGAAAAGTTTCAACTTCCGCCTATTGCAGTGCTGCGATCGTACAACGGTGTCGATCATTTTCCTCCTTCCTTCCAGATTTTTTGCATTGTATATACATGGATGATGTACATTTAGACTTTTTTCACGGTCATCGTACTGTGCTTCCTTAGAAATTCATTTACCAGAATTTTTCTCATGCCGTCCTTTGGCAGAGCCCGATCTGTTGGAATCATTTTCATCATCGCGTTAGACAGTTGGATGTCGACTCAGGCATTATGGGTCAGCATTAGTCGCGGAGTCTGGGCTTGCAGCATATGGACTAAAACATCGGTACTCGTTTGTCTCTTATAGATTCACATTTTAATTTTGTTTTCTAAGCGGTATATTTTGTTTGTCAAAAAATTCGTTGATATTATTTGTTTGAATTATCTGTACAATGTACCAGATCTAGAACATTTTCCTTTTGAAAGGAGGTCAACCCTACTATTAATTAACATCACATATGGTTATCACGAGATGCTTTTGCAAATCTTAGGTGTCCTTCTGCTGATCCTTTCCGGAGTTATCGTAAAACAGTTTTCGACGTTCGTTGCCCACAGCGGTACTTTGTAGTCGTTGCGATTGGTCAACAACAGACTCATCAGCGACTGATCAAAGCGGTGACAGGTGACTCGTTGGTCGTAACTTCCGTCATTAAATTCACAAGCATAATTGGAACCATCTGGAGCGATGCACTTTTCTTCCAAAGAACAAAGTATAGCCCTGAAAAATAAACTGATATTTGAAACGGGAATAATAAGAGCAGTAGTAATATCAATATGGGCTGTTCTGAAGTGTGCATTTATAAGCTCGTCGGAAACATCTGTAAATAATCTGTTGAAATTGTTAGCTTGTGTAGTTAAGATGACAACTTCTATAAAGATTATGCTTCTCGTAAAATGTGTATGGCACGGTATAGAATAAACTGCGCAGTGCTTCAGCTGTACTTAATGGCATTCATCAGGTGCATTTGTTCTGACTATTTGTAAATCCTGACTATTTGCAAATCCAAACATGCGGCGACAGTAGCTCTTAATCACCATATGTCATATTCGAAACCTGGTCCCACTTATTCAATATCGTATTATGCTTTATTCATGATGAACACCGTCCTCATCATGTTTGCGTAGTCTATCCCGGACCTTTGCACCAGACAAACTATTTTTTTCTTGTGAAGGCGTCAGCTATGATTTGTTAAGGGCCTACGTCTATCACGCATGACTGGCCAGAAATTTTGATTCGCAAGTGATCGGCCAATGACAGCGAACAACTTCCCTCCCGCGGAAATCAGCACTGACTGTCACAGTTCATTCTCGCTAAGTACTCTAAAATCTAGAGTCACTGGGTCATATGGTGTCACCAATAATAATAGCATCACTTGGCTGTGATACCTATATACTGCGGTTTAAGTTGTAGTAGTTGATAAGGTGATTTATGAAAAATTGAATTTGCCAGTGTATTTTTTGCCCAGAGGCACCACACCATAATACGGTGGAGAAACTACCGGAAAGGAGGTGATAGTGTTTGGGGTCTCTGAACGATACTTCCATTAAACCAATTCTCACAAAGCTTTTACCCCGGGGCCGAGTGTACAGGACGTTATGTCCAAGACTCCTATCAAGCTTTTGCCATAGTCAACATCATTTGCCAAAATCGAAAGAAACGGGAAAGGACAAACAAATATGGCCTCCGGTCCTCTGCGTACAGTTCAGTCTGACTACCCAAGACTGACTGATTTGCTCTAGCAATGACTGATGGATACAGAATGGACTGAAAGTTCGCAACTGAAAGATCTTGGCTCAGATGAAATGATGAACTAAAAGAGAGCGATGGTGGTTTGTGGTGAAAAATCACAGGAAACAGACGAGTGTGGACATCGAAACTAGGCAGTGGGAATCGTCGTTGGTCATGAAGAAGGATCAATCAATTGTTGTTGTTGTGGTCAATTTTCTCTCCTGTCATGAAGTGTTGTTAATCGGTAGGAAGCGTACTTTTACTTTGTTGAACATGAGTAAATGTAGAAAGTATCACGCAGCAACAAGAGTTCAGTAGTTCTTCATTACAGAAAGTCTTCCGGTATTTTGGCAAATATTTATGGTAAAATCGATTATGTTAAATCACTAGTATTGCTGTTGATTCACTTGGCAAGACCGCTTCACAAACGGCTGTTCAAGCACTTTTCTAAGAATCATATTCATGTATTTTGTTTTTCTTAATGTCTTTGTGATGGCGAATCGTCTCTATTTGATAAGACAGATTTTGGTCTGCTTCCGTCCTACGTTCAGGTCTACGCATGCCTCTCACTATAGCAACTCAAGCATCGTAAGCTTGTACCGAGGACTCCACAATGAATACTGTATGAGAGTGATACATACTACATACCAGCGCATGAAGTCTTGCACAACTTCCTTGGTTCTAACAGCGAACGCTAGTCCAGCCTTGTACATGGGACCGTATCGATGCTTCAGTTTTTCCGTAATCGATGGAATGTAATCGTACATGCCTAGAAATGCTCTTATAATTTCTGTTCTTAGAATAATTTCTGAATAAATATTACCTTCCCTTGTAGCACTGTAAATTGAATGACCAGCGTATGAATGAAGTAGGTACGCAAATCGATTGCAGGATTTCCATTCAGCGCGACCGAAGGGCTTCCCTTTTATATTTTCGATGTTTCTCCAATAAGGAGGGAGTTCATCCATGAGATGTTTCGCTCGACAGGTCAGCAACTTGTATACGTCAGAACAAACGGGATTTACCACCGAAACTGCAGCGTCCATATACCAAACTGCTCCAAATTCGTTAAGGGCATCCTAATCGAAATTAGGTAAAGGCTGTTACATTTATGCGATATAAAGAGTTAGGGATGCTGTGTGGTTCATACTCTAAAATAACGATACTTATTGAAAATCAGACCACTGCTACAATTGAAATGGTAAAGATGTGGCCTCTGATTGTGATAGATAGATATTGTATTCTTTCATTAAAATTTTTTTGGTACGGGAGAAGAAATTCGATGCCATCCTCTCCTAATCACCCATATCAAAAAACTTGAAGAATTAAGATTTCAGAAATATTTGGAATTGGACCTTTCGTGATTCGGTACGGTATAGCCACAGCAAGTTCCCGTGCAACCCCGTCAACCTCCTATACGAAAACGGTATCATTGTTAAACAAGCGGATTCCGGGACGGTATGTTGGATTTACCCTGTCGTGCTGCGAAAACTATTAGGGAACTGGTAGAACACTGAAGAACCTGACCTCTAGGCATGTGATTTGTCTCAGACGACAAAGGCTCTGCCGTTGCGGAGAACAGCATGCCAAGGTACCACTTCATGCAGCAAGAAAAATGCAGCGTTGTCCGCACGCAGACCAACTGCCGAAAAACAAACATCTTGGAGTCAGTGAAATTGCAACGGACGAAAAATAAAATCAGTTAAGGGAAAAAACTTACAGTTCGTACAGTCCTTGCTTAAACCTGATTGTATTGCCAACAAATGTATATTATTTGAACTTTCGTCCCTCGTTTCAAACTCATCACCCGACGTACGGACTTGTTCTAATGAAAAA